GTGCACTTTCCGTTTCAGTGTTATGCGGATGGGGTTGAGTACAAGTGAAAGGGTAATTGTCGGCAGGGGATCAAATAAAAAGGGTTAGAGCGCTGCGGGCGTTGACCGACCAATAAAAAAGGGTTGAGGGGTGTGACTGAATTAATTAATTGGGGTGAAAGGGCGACGCCATGGCCGACGGCGACATGTTTGCGCGAATTTGTAAATTAGAATGGTGATTTTGGGAGAGGTCGGATCGATAATTAACCAGTTAGAGAGCAGGGCTCTGTAAATGTAAGACGTCGCAAACTCTAATTTTAGTGAATAAATTCCATAATACTTATTTCATGAAATTATTTCTAATACTGGAAGTAATTTCAAGAAATCACAAATTTCATGAAATAAATGTAAGTACAAATCTTGAAGATGAGCATATTAAAAATTGGGTCTAAATAATTCTAAATAATTCTAAACAAATCCACTTTTTCATAAGGAATTTCAGTAATTCCGATGACACTCTTGAAAATTCAGCTAATTCAGAAAATATTCTCTCAAAGTGTGTAATAAATAACGTATTTAAAATCTGAATACTATTACCAAAACTGTGTGAATTACAAATTTGGTGGTTTCGATTAATTCCTCTAACTCCAAAGTAATGCACAAAATTCTAAACAATTCAATAAAAATTAGTATAGTAATTATATCAGAAATTCTGACAATTCTAGAGCAAATTCCCGTGAATTCCAACAAAATCCAACAATTTTAGAGGGTGTAAGATAATAATAACTTAGATGAATTTTACAGAATTTCACTAATTGAAAATAAATTCCGGTAATTTTCCATTATTTGAAGTAATTTCAAGATATCAAAAATTTCATGAGATACTTAATTGTAGCAGTGTTTCAAGATGAGCATTTTGAAAGTTGAGTATAAATTATATAAAGTAATAAATTCTAAAGTATAAATTTAAAAAAATTCTGAACAAATCCATTTTTTCATAAAGAACACTAAGAATTCGGAAGGAACTCTTGAAAATCCAGATAATTCAGAAAATAATCTCTCAGAGTGCGTAATGGGAATAATGTATTTAAAATTTCAGTTTCACTACCAAAACTATGTGAATTATAAATCTGGTGGTTTCGATTAATTCCTCTAACTCCAAAGTAATGCACAAAATTCTAAACAATTCAATAAAAATTAGTATAGTAATTATAGCAGAAATTCTGACGATTCTAGAGCAAATTCCCGTGAATTCCAACAAAATCCAACAATTTTAGAGGGTGTAAGATAATAATAACTTAGACGAATTTTACAGAATTTCACTAATTGAAAATAAATTCCCGTAATTCTCCATTATTTGAAGTAATTTCAAGATATCAAAAATTTCATGAGATACTTAATTGTAGCAGTGTTCAAGATGAGCATTTTGAAAGTTGGGTATAAATTATATAAAGTAATAAATTCTAAAGTATAAATTCAAAAAAATTCTAAACAAATCCATTTTTTCATAAAGAACACTAAGAATTCGGAAGGAACTCTTGAAAATCCAGACAATTCAGAAAATAATCTCTCAGAGTGCGTAATGGGAATAATTTATTTAAAATTTCAGTTTCACTACCAAAACTATGTGAATTATAAATCTGGTGGTTTCCATTAATTCCTCTAACTCCCCATTAATTCCTCTAACTCCAAAGTAATGCACAATATTCTAAACAATTCAGTTAATAATAATTAGTGTCGTAATTATAATAGAAATTTTGACGATTCTAGAGCAAATTCGTATGAATTTCAACAAAATTCAATAATTTTAGACTCTGTAAGGTAACAATAATTTATTTTGATAAATTTTACAGAATTTCACTAAATGTAAATAAATTTCCGTAATTCCTGTAATTCTCTATTATTTGAAGTAATTTCAAAATATCAAAAATTTCATGAGATAACTGTAGCAGTCCTGAAGATGAGCATTTTAAAAATTGGGTATAAATAATTCTAAAAATTCTAAACATATCCACTTTTTCATAAGGAATTCCAGTAATTCTGAGTAACTCTTGAAAATTCAGATAATTCAGAAAATATTCTCTCAAAGTGCGTAATGAATACCGTATTTAAAATCTGAATACTAATACCAAAACTGTGTGAAATATAAATCTGGTGGTTTCGATTAAATCCAAAGTAATGCACAAAATTCTAAACAATTCAGTAAAAATTAGCATAGTAACTATAGCAGAAATTCTGACGATTCTAGAGCAAATTCCCGTGAATTCCAACAAAATCCAACAATTTTAGAGTGTGTAAGATAACGATAACGTAGATGAATTTTACAGAATTTCACTAAATGTAAATAAATTCTCGTAATTCCCGTAATTCTACATTATTTGAAGTAATTTCAAGATACCAAAAATTTCATGAGATAACTGTAGCAGTCCTGAAGATGAGCATTTTAAAAATTGGGTATAAATAATTCTAAAAATTCTAAACATATCCACTTTTTCATAAGGAATTCCAGTAATTCTGAGTAACTCTTGAAAATTCAGATAATTCAGAAAATATTCTCTCAAAGTGCGTATGAATAACTTATTTAAAATCTGAATACTAATACTAAAACTGTATGGATTACAAATCTGGTGGTTTCGATTAATTTCTCTAAATCCAAAGTAATGGACAAAATTCTAAACAATTCAGTAAAAATTAGTACAGTAACTATAGCAGAAATTCTGATGATTCTAGAACAAATTCCCGTGAATTCCAACAAAATTCAACAATTTTAGAGTGTGTAAGATAACAATAACTGAGATGAATTTTACAGAATTTCACTAAATGTAAATAAATTCTCGTAATTCCCGTAATTCTCCATTATTTGAAGTAATCTCAAGAAATCAAAAATTTCATGAGATAATTGTAGCAGTTCTGAAGGTGCGCATTTTAAAAATTGGGTATAAATAATTCTAAAAAATTCTTAACAAATTCACTTTTTCATAAGGAATTTCAGTAATTCCGAGGACACTCTTGAAAATTCAGATAATTCAGAAAATATTCTCTCAAAGTACCTAGTGAATAACGTATTTAAAATTTGAATATTAATACCAAAACTGTGTGAATTATAAATCTGGTGGTTTCGATTAAATCCAAAGTAATGCACAAAATTCTAAACAATTCAGTAAAAATTAGCATAGTAACTATAGCAGAAATTCTGACGATTCTAGAGCAAATTCCCGTGAATTACAACAAAATCCAACAATTTTAGAGTGTGTAAAACAACAATAACTTAGATGATTTTTACAGAATTTCACTAAATGTAAATAAATGTCCGTAATTCCCGTAATTCTCTGTTATTTAAAGTAATTTCAAGATATCAAAAATTTCATGAGATAACTGTAGCAGTCCTGAAGATAAGCATTTTAAACATTGGGTATAAATAATTCTAAAAAATTCTAAACAAATCCACTTTTTCATAAGGAATTCCAGTGATTCTGAGGGAACTGTTGAAAATTCAGATAATTCAGAAAGTATTCTCTCAAAGTGCGTAATGAATAATGTAGTTAAAATCTAAATACTAATACCAAAACTGTGTGAATTATAAATCTGGTTTCGATTAATTCCTCTAAATCCAAAGTAATTGACAAAATTCTAAACAATCCAGTAAAAATTAGTACAGTAACTATAGCAGAAATTCTGACGATTCTAGAGCAAATTCCCGTGAATTCCAACAAAATCCAACAATTTTAGAGTGTGTAAGATAACAATAACTGAGATGAATTTTACAGAATTTCACTAAATGTAAATAAATTCCCGTAATTCCCGTAATTCTCCATTGTTGGAAGTAATTTCAATGATATCAAAAATTTCATGAGATAATTGTAGCAGTTCTGAAGGTGCGCATTTTAAAAATTGAGTATAAATAATTCTAAAAAATTCTAAACAAATCCACTTTTTCATAAAAAATTTCAGTAATTCCGAGGACACTCTTGAAAATTCAGATAATTCAGAAAATATTCTCTCAAAGTGCGTAATGAATAAGGTATTTAAAATCTGAATACTAATACCAAAACTGTGTGAAATATAAATCTGGTGGTTTCGATTAAATCCAAAGTAATGCACAAAATTCTAAACAGTTCAGTAAAAATTAGCATAGTAACTATAGCAGAAATTCTGACGATTCTAGAGCAAATTCCCGTGAATTCCAACAAATCCAACAATTTTAGAGTGTGTAAGATAACAATAACTGAGATGAATTTTACAGAATTTCACTAAAAGTAAATAAATTCCCGTAATTCCCGTAATTCTCCATTATTTGAAGTACTTTCAAGATATCAAAAATTTCATGACATAATTGTAGCAGTCCTGAAGATGTGCATTTTAAAAATTGGGTATAAATAATTCTAAAAATTCTAAACAAATCCACTTTTTCATAAGGAATTTCAATAATTCCGAGGGCACTTTTGAAAATTCAGATAATTCAGAAAATATTCTCTCAAAGTGCGTAATGAATAACGTATTTAAAATCTGAATACTACTACCGAAATTGTGTGAAGTATAAATCTGGTGGTTTCGATTGCAAATATAAATTCGCGTAATTCCACACTATTATCAAAGATTTCATTAAATAAATGTGTAAATCTTGAAGATGAGCATTTCAAAAATTGCATCCTAATCGTTGTGTCAAAGTACGCAGTGGAATAATATATTTAATTACATTATAATTCCGAATTCCTTTAATTTCACTAACTCTGAAGTAATGATCAAAAAACAAATAGTGGAAAAATGAAACTTTTTTTAATGTTCCACACAACTTCGTCATTTTTTTTTAATGCTTTCAAATTTAATTTTTATTTGGACCATTTTCCCTATTATGTTGTTAAATAATGACGGTGTTCCTCAAGGTGTAATTCTGGAGCACTATGTTTACCCAGGTTGTGAATGATATTACAAGAAATAGTGAACAGAATCAGATTGAACAAAATAAAAAATCTGGGCCCACATTTATTTATTTTCTACTTAAATGATTTTACAAATTTAATCCTCCACAAAAAATTAAATTATTAAACACATAACCTAAAAATAATACTCAAAAACTATACAAAAATTACAAAATAAATGGACTTACAGCTGCAAAATATGTAAATATGTGTTTGTGAATTTTGACTAAACGTGACGTGTTTGTCATTTTCATACCATTAGTTGAGTTTGTGCTTCTTAGGACGGACCGAAGTCGTGGCATTGGAAGTTTGTAAAATCACATGGTCTGTACGTGAACTGACCTCAACGTGTGTCCTTGCTAGGGTGACCTGAAATTTAACAAAATTGACATAGGTACCCTTTCTGGTAGTTTTATTCACGTACGCCGAAACATGAAATTATGAGCAACACAATTTTCTCTTTGACTGTCATGTTACCTTCACGCGTGAAGTACCACTAAAAAGATAATGGTTTTGTTTCTTTATCGGCGAGCGATAAAATTCTTTAATAACAGGTAATCAACAAGCGCAGTTTTTAATGAGCTGATTACCAGTTTTAACGCGCTGAGACACATTTATGTATTTTAGTTGTGTTCGACAAGGTGCACTTCTAGAACCATCCTTATTGACTTCGTTTGTAATTGACATTATTCAAAACCAATCATCCCCAGCACCACAGGAAAAGCCCTCGCTTCTAATTATTTAATTCTATCCAAATCGACCCATCGCAAACCGTGCAAATTAGTTCGACAACCGCCTTTGAAGCATCCCACCCAATCACCCAATGGTCAGAAGGACAATGCCCTAATAATTTCCCAAGCCCCCAACCATCCCATCTCACATACTTGCCTGAAACAGAAGTATTTTTTATCCCTAATCACCTACCTGGAGGTCCTTCAACCCGGCAGACTCACCACCTCACCATATATTTGCTCACCTAAAGAAATTCCTCCCATGCTCCGCAACGCTGCCTTTTAATTTTGGTTGGCTGATTTTCTAGAATTAAGAAGAATCATTTTTCACTTTCAACCCCGCCGAGCCAAAAGCGCCCCTACGCCCGCCGCCATCAGAGCTACCTTCGCCACTGTGAAATCCGACCATCGTGCCAAAAGGTACAAAGACGCCGAAGAAAATTATTTTCGGGGGTGCGTTGACCTTGCACATGTTTTTTGCGCTCGTTTTTTGAAGAGCCTCTCTGGGATTTTTAAACATCACAAAAGACTTCCGCGTTTGGCCGTTTCCGCCCTCGAAGTTAATTTGCGCTGACCGATCGGGCGGTAATGGGAAGCTGGGGGGAGAGTCTTCAAACATCCGTGAAACTAAAAACGGGGGTTTTGGACAGAAGATGGGCTAGGGTAGTTTAAAGTGTGTGGATTATTGATTCTGTGGTGGTTAATGTAGTCAGTATGTCACTGATGTGTACAATGAATAACATTGGAGTTAACACCGTTCCTTGGGTTACTTCAAATGTGTTATCACAACCAGATTTTATTATTATTATAGAAGAAATTGAACGTATTTAAGTGATTTTGTTGCATTATTTTGGGGAAACATGAACAAAACGCTTTATTGCACAATAAATAAAAATAAATCCTAGTATACTAAAAGAAGAGAGTAGTTTTAAATCTTTTAAATTGTTCTAATGATGACTCCCTTTTTACCATTTCTGCTACAATACCTCAGATATTTTAAGGCACTCTATTAAATGATTCATATTAAATGCGATGCTATTGAAAAAATAAATCTATTTAGTTGAACAAATAAGTTTAAATCATTACCGGAAAAATCAAAGGTGACCTAACGCTATAAATATACATATTTGACATTTATTTACTTTCCCAAATTTCAAATATTCTATATTTTCCAATAACTCAAATATGAGAGTGAAAAATTCAAACTGAGACTTCGTCATTTAAAAATTTCTTAAAATTTTACATCAAAGGAGTTACATACCAGATGGTACACTACTAAAAAAAATAGGACATCCCTTCTAGCGACACAATGCCATTTAAGGCCTATTTTAACAGTGTCCAATACAGGTAGCACGTCATTATTGTAACAATTGAATCACAATGGAGTCAATACTGTCCTGAGCTACACCACCAGTTCCACATTAATATTTCGGTTATTTCAAAAGACAGAAGTTTCAAATTTACACTAGTTCATTAACACAAATAAATCTATAAAATAAATTTATTCCAAGCATAATACCGTGTTTGGTTTTTTCAGAAATGACATGAACATTTGCATTTTTAAGTAGAAAAATAATGTACAATACTTATATATTTATTTCACTTCAGTTGATAAAAAGTAATACAAAAATGAAAGTTGAGTTAAATAAAGGGCTACTGTTCCCAAAATATAATATACGATATTAAAAATTAACTTTTTTTGGAATCTATCTTTCTTTTTTTTTTATTTTTGGGAATGACGTATTCTTGCCTGAACTGAAAGTACCGAAAACATATAATTTCATGTTTTTGTCATGAAAATATTGTCCTCTGAAAAACTAAAAAAACATTCTTTACAACGCAGAAAACACCAAAAATATCTAATTTCATGTTTTTTTGGCTTTCAATGAAACAATTTTGTGAAAATAAATAAAGACTACATTTTAATTTTGAATCTGCCAAACTGAATTTTTTAATCAAAATATATTCGCTTATCACCTCCAAAAAATTGTTGACGTTATCTCAAAATTTCACAAAATGCAAAATATGATCAGTCTACTTATGAATTATCACTGCATTCATATTTTTTAGATTTGCTCAAACAGGGTGACTCAAAAAAATTAATGACTGAGTTGTAAAAAATAGACATCCAATCGGATTTACGAATTTAACTCGTTACCATGGAAATTTGCAATTTAACACCTTTTAAATTCAACAAGTTTTTACAAGATCAATAGGGACAAAATTAGTCTTATCTTAGCAAGTGCTAGCCCCTCCCACCCGCCCCCTATTTTCTCAGAGGATATGGCATTTGGCAAAATCAGTTTTATCTTAGCAAGTACTAGCCCCGCCCACCCGCCCTCTATTTTGTCAAAGGGTATAACGTCTGCCAAAATCAGTCTTGTCTGAACAAGTACTAGCCCCGCCCACCCGCCCGCCCCTATTTCCTCAGAGAATATGTCATTTGCCAAAATAAGACTTATCTTAGCAAGTACTAGGAAGTACCACCCTCTGAGAAAATAGGGCGGGTGGGCGGGTCTAGTACTGATTTTGCCCCTATTAATCTTGTAAAAGGTGTAGGTCATTGGCCAAAATGAGTCTTATTTTGGCAAATACTACCCAGCCGACTCGCCTTTTATTTTCTTATAGGGTAGGTTATTTGGCAAGTGCTAGCCCCACCCGCCCTCCCTTTTTTTTTTTTAGAAAGTAGGCACTTGCCAAAATCAATATTATCGTAACAAGTACTACTAAATTTTTCAGTTTTTCGGGTTTTCAACTTTCAAATTTTCAATTTCTCGCTTTTTCAATTTTCAGTTTTTTTAACTGTTTTTCAATTTTTGATTTTTCTATGCAACTGAAAAAAACATTCGATTTTTTAATTTTACAATTTTGGCAGTTTTCCGATTTCTCTCACTTATTTGATTTTTAAATATGTCGAGAAAATAGATGTAATAACAGTAATTTTGATCAGCGATTTTTACCGTAACTTTAAAACATCTGAAAATTTTGTTTCTAATTTTCAATTTTTGGATTTTTCAAAATTTCGGTTCGAATAAATTTGTACTTTAGTTAAAAAATCAAAAATGACAAATCGTGAAAAGGAAAAATTTTAACTTGAGAACTTGAAAAATTAAAAATCAAAAAATTCCAAAACTGTAAAACAAATTATTAAATGTTGAAAGATCTAAAAACTAAAAAAAATGAAAACTGGAATTTCGAATTCGATTTTATAAGATTTTGTTTTTTTTAAAATTTTCCGATTTGTCATTTATCAGATTTTTCAATTTGTCATTTTTAGATTTTTAAGTTTTTTTATTTTAAGCAAGTACTAGCCCCACCCACCCAGGATTTATTTTCTTAGAAGAATGAGTCATCTGCCAAAATCAGTCTTATCTTGACAAGTACTAGCCCCGCCCGCCCACCCTTTATTTTTTTAGTAGAGTGGGTCATCTGCCAAAATCAGTCTTTTCTTGACAAGTACTAGCACCGCCCACCCACCCTTATTTTCTTAGAGGATATGTCATTTGCAAAAATGAGTTTCATACTTGCCAAGATAAGATTGATTTTGGCAGATGACCCACTCTACTAAGAAAATAAAGGGTGGGTGGGCGGGACTAGTACCTTTTCTTAGAAGAGTAGGTCGTTTGTCAAAATGAGTCTTATTTTGGCAAATACTAGCCTGGCTCACCCGCCTTTTATTTTCTTAGAGGGTAGGTTATTTTAAATTGGAGAATCGAAACATTAAATATCGAAAAACGGAAAAATCGAAAATGTAAAATTTAAAGCATTGAAAAACTGAAGATTCGAGAAAAAAATCATGAAACTGAAATGTCGAAAAATTGGAAAATCGAAAAGTTGAAAAATCGCAAAACTGAGAAGCCGGAAAATCGAAAAATTGCGAAATCGAAATTACCCAAAATCGAAAAACGGAAAAAACCAAAAATGTAAAAATTTTGGCAGTTTTCCGATTTCTCAATTATTTGATTTTTAAATATACCGAGAAAATAGATGTTTGTTTCTTAAAATTTCCGATTTTTGATTTTTCGTCACCGAGTTTTTGGAAGGGAGTAAACAGAAATTTTGATCAGCGATTGCCATGTTTACCGTAACTTTAAAACATCTGAAAATTTTGTTTCTAATTTTCAATTTTTGGATTTTTCGATTTTTCAAAATTTCGGTTCGAATAAATTTGTACTTTAGTTAAAAAATCGAAAAATGACAAATCGTGAAAAGGAAAAATTTTAACTTGAGAACTTGAAAAATTAAAAATCAAAAAATTCCAAAATTGTAAAACAATTTATTAAATGTTGAAAGATCTAAAAACTAAAAAAAATGAAAACTGGAATTTCGAATTAGATTTTATAAGATTTTGTTTTTTTTTAAATTTTCCGATTTGTCATTTATCCGATTTTTCAATTTGTCATTTTTAGATTTTTAAGTTTTTTTATTTTAAGCAAGTACTAGCTCCACCCACCCAGGATTTACTTTCTTAGAAAAATGAGTCATCTGCCAAAATCAGTCTTATCTTGACAAGTACTAGCCCCGCCCACCCACCCTTTATTTTCTTAGCAGAGTGGATCATCTGCCAAAATCAGTCTTTTCTTGACAAGTACTAGCCCCGCCCACCCACCCTTATTTTCTTAGAGGATATGTCATTTGCAAAAATGAGTTTCATACTTGCCAAGATAAGACTGATTTTGGCAGATGATCCACAAAATTCCAAAAATTGTAAAGTTAAAACTTGAAAAATCAAAAAATTGGGATTAAACACTGCAAAATTGTCAA